TAGGAGGGGAGGGTGTGATGGGGGTGGAGGAGGGCTGGATGGGGGAGGAGGGGCGTGATGGAGGTAGGAGGAGGGGCGTGATGGAGGTGAGGGGAGGGGAGAGGGGGCGTGATGGAGTGGGAGGGAGGTGGGCGTGATGGAGGTAGGGAGGGAGGGGGGCGTGATGGGAGGTAGGGGGAGGGGAGGGGGTGAGGGGAGGGGCGTGGAGGAAGGAGGGGAGGTGGGCGCGATGATGGAGGAGGAGGGAGGGAGGGCGGGATGGAGGTAGGAGGGAGGGGTGGGCGTGATGGAGGAGGGGAGGGGATGGAGTAGGAGGAGGGGTGGACATGATGGGAGAGAGAGTGGGCATGATGGGAGGAGAGGTGGCATGATGAGAGAGGGATGAGAGGAGGGTGGATGTGATGGGAGGAGAGGGGGGGGATGGGAGGGTTGGGCGTGATGGGAGGAGAGGGGTGAGCGTGATGGGAGGAGAGGGGTGGGGCATGATGGGAGATGGGAGGGAGGGAGGGGTGGGCGTGATGGGAGGAGGGTGACATGATGGAAGGAGAGGGGTGGGCATGATGGGAGGAGAGGGTGGGCATGATGGAGGAGAGGGGTGGACGATGGGAGGAGCGGGGTGGACGATGGGAGGGAGAGGGGTGGCATGATGGGATGAGAGATGTGATGAGGAGAGGTATGGGAGGATGATGGATGGAGGGAGGGTGGGATGATGGGGAGGAGGAGGGTGGGCATGGTGGAAGGAGAGAGGGGAGGAGAGTGGGCATGGTGGAAGGGGAGGGTGGACATGATGGGAGAGGTGGGCATGATGGAAGGAGAGGGTGGGCATGGTGGGAGGAGAGGGGTGGGCATGATGGGAGGAGAGGGGTGGGCATGATGGAAGGAGTGGGCATGGTGGAAGGAGAGGGGTGGACGAGATGGGAGGAGGGTGGACGAGATGGGAGGAGCGGGGTGGACGTGATGGGAGGAGGGGTGGGCATGATGGAAGGGAGGGGTGGGCATGATGGGAGGAGAGGTGGGCATGATGGAAGAGAGGTGGGCATGGTGGGAGGAGAGGGTGGGCGATGGGAGGAGAGGGGTGGATGTGATGGAAGGAGGGGTGGACATGATGGAAGGAGAGGGTGGACGAGATGGGAGGAGAGGGTGGACATGATGGGAGGAGAGGGTGGGCATGATGGAAGGAGAGGGTGGGCATGATGGGAGGAGAGGGGTGGTCTTGATAGGGGAGGGGGTGGGCGTGATAGGGGAGGGGTTGGGCGTGATAGGGGAGGGGGTGGGCGTGATAGGGAAGGGGGTGGTACGTGCTGTCAACACCAGATCGACGATGACTGCATCCGTCTTCTCCCCAGGTGTGTTTAATGAGGCCGCCTCTTATTGTCCTCCCCACCTGTTGGTTAACTTGTCCCTCCACCTGTTGGTTAACTTGTCTCCTCACCTGTTGGTTAACTCGTCTCCTCACCTGTTGGTTAACTAGTTGTCCTCACCTGTTGGTTAACTGGTTGTCCTCACCTGTTGGTTAACTCGTCTCCTCACCTGTTGGTTAACTGGTTGTCCTCACCTGTTGGTTAACTGGTTGTCCTCACCTGTTGGTTAACTGGTTGTCCTCACCTGTTGGTTAACTAGTTGTCCTCACCTGTTGGTTAACTGGTTGTCCTCACCTGTTGGTTAACTGGTTGTCCTCACCTGTTGGTTAACTGGTTGTCCTCACCTGTTGGTTAACTAGTTGTCCTCACCTGTTGGTTAACTGGTTGTCCTCACCTGTTGCCCTCTTGTGGGTTAACTGGGGATGGGTATGGGAACAGAATGATAGTGAGGGAAGAGAGGGGGTGAGGTGTAGGAGGGGAGGAGACGGATGTGAGGAAGGAATGAGGGTAGTGAGGTAAGGGCAGGGAATGGTGATAGAGGAGGAGATGAGGTTAGGGGTATTAGGGGTGGAAAGGGTGACGTGAGGGAGGGTGAGGTGAGAGGTGTCGGGGGTTGGAGGGTAGTGAGGGAAGGTGGGGTGTCGGGGGTTGGAGGGTGTGCTGGGAGAGTCGGGCACCACCATAAATACGTACGGATTGGTGGGTCGGCCACAGTGCTGCCGCCGTTGCTGTTTGGCGAAGGTGAGGAACCTCGACCACCGTGTCCTGTGTTTCGGGACCTACGCCCGCTACCAGTGGCACGCCCTCTGTATCTCTGGGACCACGCGCCCTCTACTAGGACCACTACCACTGTACCAGAAATTGTACTTTATAACTACGCCCTTGACCTGTGAACCACGCCCATGACATTAATTACTGGACCATGTCCACGACCTGGGTACCATCCATGACCCATGAATCGCCCACGAGCTGTGTATCAACCCCATGACCTGTGTATCAGGACCACGCACACCCACGACCTGGGAACCATGCCCACGACTTGTACATGTGACCACGCCCACAGCCTGGCGACACACCCACGACCTGTACACGAAGACCACGTCCACACCCACGATCTGGGAACCAAGACCACGACCTGTGCACCACGGCTACACCCACGACCTGTGTAACACTCATATGACCAGTATATCAGGATACACCCTGTATTGTACACCACGTCCACGACCTGTGCATATACCAGGACCCCAGCCTGCGCCCTCGGTCTGTGTATAATGACATAGATCTGTGTACCACGCCCGCCACCCATGTACAGTACCAGGACGACGACCCGTGTACCAGGACAACGACCTGTGTACCAGGACAACGACCTGTGTACCAGGACGACGACCTGTGTACCAGGACAACGACCTGTGTACCAGGACGACGACCCGTGTACCAGGACAACGACCTGTGTACCAGGACAACGACCTGTGTACCAGGACGACGACCTGTGTACCAGGACGACTACCTGTGTACCAGGACAACGACCTGTGTGCCAGGACGACGACCTGTGTACCAGGACAACGACCTGTGTGCCGACAACGACCTGTGTACCAGGACGATGACCTGTGTGCCAGGACAACGACCGCAATGTGCCAGGACAGCGACCTGTGTGCCAGGACAACGACACTGTGTGCCAGGACGACGACCGTATTACCAGAACAACAAACCTGTGTGTACCGACAACGACCTGTGTACCACGACAACGACCTGTGTACCAGGACCTGGCCTATGTGCCAGGACAACGACCTGTGTGCCAGGACAGCGACCTGTGTGCCAGGGCCACAACCTATGTACCAGGACAGAGCCTGTGTGCCAGGACAACTTGTTTCCTGTGTGCCAGGACAACGACCTGTGTGTGCCAGGACAACGACATGTGCCAGGACCATGCCCTGTGTACCAGGACAACGACCTGTGTGCCAGGACAACGACCTGTGTGCAGGACAACGACCTGTGTGCCAGGACGACGACCTGTGTACAGGACAACGACACTGTGTGCCACGACAACGACCTGTGTGCCACAACAACGACCTGTGTTACCAGGACCACAACCTATGTGCCAGGACAACGACCTGTGTACCAGGACAACGACCTGTGTGCCAGGACCACAACCTATGTACCAGGACAACGACCTGTGTACCAGGACAACGACCTGTGTACCAGGACAACGACCTGTGTACCAGGACAACGACCTGTGTACCAGGACAACGACCTGTGTACCAGGACCATGCCCTGTGTACCAGGACAACGACCTGTGTACCAGGACAACGACCTGTGTACCAGGACAACGACCTTTGTACCAAGACAACGACCTGTGTACCAGGTCCATGACATGTGTACTAGGACCACGACTCGTGTACCTGGGCCATAACCTGTGTACCAAGACAAGGATATATGTACATACCCACGACCTGGGTACCAAAATCAGGACCAGTTTCCAAAGAAAACAGCCTATGTATCACACCTACGACCTGTGTTTCACGACCACACACACACACACACACACACACACACACACACACACACACACACACACACACACACACACACACACACACACACACACGTATGCGGTCTCTACATAACTGAATGTCATCCCTGGCACCACCAATTTTTGAAAAGTTTCTGTCATGTTTTGCATTTTTTTTTTCATCATCCTACAACATGAGTGTTGTTCAGAGAGACTGACTGGCTTGCTGATTGGCAGATAAATTTTTGCCAGACGTTCTTGGCTGTAATTTGTATTGGAGGATAGTGTGTCTTGTTCTGGGGTTCATTTACCTGTGAAAACCTAAACGTGATCTTCTTTGTACGTAGTGAGATATAATTAACACTCACACATCAGCACACATGCAACGTACAAACTCAGTTAGATAAAAAGAGAACATCCAGAGGTGAGGGAGTTAAGACGAACACTTACCCTAGCAGTTGTGTCCATCCAGTGTGCTTTATGGATGGATCAACAGCCACAGTGTGGTTGTGTTCCTCACATCTTCACTACACAGTTACCATAGTACCTCTTAAGGTGCCAGCTTGGACGCCATTACATCCACCATTTCTGCAGTATTAATTCAATCAGATCCCACTGTTGCCACCATTTGTTCATCACTCAAGTTATTGTATCGGCATCATCCACTTCTTGCTTATTGTTCTTATTACTCTATGACGCAACTTGTTACTGTACATCATAAACTCGGCTCCTCACTGCATTTGGTACAGATATGATGATGTCAGAGCTATTAGTATACATTAGCAAAGAAAATTATGATGAAAATAACAACAATGACTATTACAGACATTCATCCATATGTGGAATAGTTACATTTCATTCATTGTGGAGGGGTCGTGGGTGGGGGCTGCTGAGTCACAAGTCGTGGAGGTCGGTTTTTGGAGCTGGAGGAATTATATTCTTTTTATTAGGTCACCAGTTAACTCCTTCACCATGCCCCACCTGCCCCAAGAGCTAACACACCCCTCACCTGCCCCAGGAGCTAACACACCCACCACCTGCCCCAGGAGCTAACACACCCACCACCTGCCCCAGGAGCTAACACACCCACCACCTGCCCCTGGAAGTAACACTTCCCATATCCCCCACAGATCAACGCCAGCAGCCTACAAACGCAGGTAGACTCTGCCTACGCCAAACCCCAGAAGCCGGCCAAGAGCCCTTCACCCCCAGCACCAGCTCCAACATTAACATCGGCACCAGCACCCGCATCAGTGTTCACGCCACCCAAGGAGCCCACGCCGACACCCACGCCCAAGGAGCCCACGCCCTCGCCCACACCGCCCCCGGTGAACCAGCTTGATTGTATGCTAGGTTCCCTGGCCTCCCACATGACGGAGCAGGGCATCACCACCACGCAGAAGGGCTGCTGCTGCGCCTGCGACAAACCCATCGTCGGCCAGGTATATTTCTCTCTCTCGTGCCACTTACTGTCTCACATGTCACGGGTGGCACCATCACACTGCCATATAACACCTCCGTATGTATCGCACTGCCACGGGTGATGGGGATCATCACCCGTGGCAGTAACACTTTTCATCACCCGTGTTTCATTTTGGCAAACCTGTTATTATTTCTCAAGTTTTTACTTGTTTGTATTCAAGTTAGTTAATTTCCACCTTAGTCTTGTGTTAATACTCATAGATGTGCATTGGCCTGGGTTTATTATTATTATTATTATTATTATTATTATTATTATTATTATTATTATTATTATTTTAATATCTGCTGTATGTAGATGTATCCGAAATTGTCTTGTGCTGTGACTCGAACCTGGGCCTCGAGACTGGGTTCGAGTCCTGATACCACGAAATTTCGTTTTCGTTTTGTACTGATGTTAAAACCCGTAGAATCGTTTGAATCTCTCAAAGGTACGTTTTATTTCCTCTTGTAAATTTTATTTCCCCACTGAATGATTTTGGAATATATAGTCATGATGATAACTATCCGTCCGTCCATCTGTTGACAAATGTTTCCACAGAATAGCAAAAGTTGTATTGGACGCATCACAAGCAAACTTCATATGTAGGTTCTTTATACACATCTGATGAACACAATTTTAGTTTTGTTATGGGGAATTAGCCTTTCCAGTGATGGGTTTAGTTTTCTGTAAACCTTTGGAACACATGGCGTTTACTGTAGTTGTACTTATAATATATTCTCGTGTGTGTGTTTGTGTATTTGTGTACAGGTGATCACGGCCCTGGGCAAGACGTGGCACCCGGAGCACTTCACCTGCTCCCACTGTAACCAGGAGTTGGGTACCCGCAACTTCTTCGAGCGTGACGGCAAGCCTTACTGTGAGCCTGACTACCACAACCTCTTCTCTCCGCGCTGTGCCTACTGCAACGGCCCCATCCTTGACGTGAGTCTAACTTGGGGACAGGCGTGGCCCTACTTGGACGTAAAATTTCGTGGTTAGGTTAAATTAGATCTGTTCGGTGAGTATAAGTTAGGTTAGAGTGGTAGGAGGTGAGGGTATTATTGATGGGAGATCAGGGTAAGTTTGTTTAGGGAGAGAAAGTTACAAATATCGTGTTTTGGTAAGGACGAGTGAGAAGGACCGGCGAGAACGGATTATTAAAGAGGACTCGTGAATTATGAGATAAAGGGGATGAGTGGCCTTCCTTCACACATTTTATAAAAGTTCACTTCATGTTTTATGTTACTAAAAGGAAGCTGCTGTAGCCTTTAGTAGGTGAGTTCACAAGTCCAGCCTTACGGGAGACACATTAATTATTCCCCACGAATTGTCCAAACGAACTTTCTTGGTACTTACCCAGTGTAGTTCACATCACTGTAATTGTAAGGCCCGGCTTCACCCCCCCCCCCTCTCCGGTACAGGGATATATGAGTTGTACCGTGACTTTAGTTGTCACTTGGCTCTGACATGAAGACCTAGATGGTGATAATGATCATCTGTCACCACACACTGAACATGTTGCATCTCAGTATTACCTCTGGTTACACCTCCTATACTCTAGTGACTAGTAGGTCTAGAGACTAGAGTCTATTCTCTAGACCTACTAGGTCCCACCTTATCTTACTCTGACCTATTAAAACTGAGACCCATTAGGACTAGGGACCATTTCACCGGAACCCATTTGACCAGTAGCTTTGTTTCTTTCTCGCCCTATGATGTAACAGAAATGCGTGACGGCGCTGGACAAGACGTGGCACCCAGACCACTTCTTCTGCACCCAATGCGGAAACACCTTCGGCGAGGATGGCTTCCACGAGAAGGATGGCAAACCTTACTGCCGCGACGACTACTTCAACATGTTCGCCCCCAAGTGTGGCGGCTGCAACTCTCCCATTATGGAGAACTACATCTCTGCCCTCAACGCCCAGTGGCACCCAGAGTGCTTCGTCTGCAGGGTGAGTCTCATCTTATATTCTCTCTCCCTCTTCTGTTCTCATTTTATCTCTTCTCATTTTTTCTCTTCACTCATCTTGTCTCCATTGGTATTCTACTCAGATATTTCCTTTCTTTTTTTACTTCTGCTCCTCACCTCTTCCTTTTTCTTCATATCTTCCCCTGTATATCTTTCTCTCGTTGTATGCGTGCGTCTGTATGTCACAAAATTGAGCTATGTAGTCCCTCGTGTGACTGTCCCTTGTGTGTGAATGTGTGTACAGTAGTTTTATTACGTAAGTCTGGACTCTTGGACCTGCTGTTGCTGCTGCTAGGTAAGTGATGGGCTTCGTTACCCCCTCTCCCTCACTATCCCTTCCCCCTCACTACCCCTTCTCCCTCACTACCCCCTCTCCCTCACTACCCCCTCCCCCTCACTATCTCCTACCCTTCACTACCCCCTCTCCCTCACTATCTCCTCCCCTCACTCTCCCCTTCCCCCTCACTACCCCTTCCCCTCCACTCCCCCTCCCCCTCCTATTCCCCTCTCAGTACTCCCCTCCCCTCCTACCCCTTCCCCTCAGTACTCCCCTCCCCCTCCTACCCCTTCCCCTCTCAGTACTGTACTCCCCTCCCCCTCACTCCCCTCTCAGTACTCCCCTTCCCCTCACTACCCCTTCCCCTCTCACTCCCCCCTCCCCTCACTATTCCCCTCTCAGTACTCCCCTACCCCTTCCCCTCTCAGTACTCCCCCTCCCCCTCCTACCCCTCCCCTCTCAGTCCCCCCCTCCCCCTCCCCCCCCTCTCCTCCCCCCTCCCCCTCCTTTCCCCTCTCTCCTCTCCCCTCCCCTCCCTCCTCCCTCTCAGTACCCCCTCCCTCACTATTCTTAATGTCTCTCCTCGACCCTTGACCTTTCTCTCACCCCATACATCTCCCTTTGCACAGGATGTAAGGGTGCCCAATCTGCCCCCCCTCTGTGCAATTTAATCTAAATCCCTCACCTCTCTCACATCTCTCTCCCTCTCTCTCCCCCTCTCTCCTCCCTCTCTCACCTCTCTCACTTCTCCCTCACCTCTCTCCTCACTTCTCCCTCACCTCTCTCCTTCACACTTCTCCCTCACCTCTCTCCTCCACACTTCTCCCTCCCTCTCTCCTCCACTTCCTCCCTCACCTCTCTCCTCCACACTTCTCCCCTCACCTCTCTCCCTCACCTTCTCCACCTCTCTCCTCCCTTCCCCCTCACCTCTCTCTCCTTCCCTCCCCTCACCTCTCTCCTCCCTTCCCTCTCCTCTCTCTCCTCCCCTTCCCCTCACCTCTCTCCTCCCCACTTCCCCTCACCTCTCTCACTTCACACTCCCTCTCTCTCCTTCACACTTCCCCTCACCTCTCTCCCTTCACCTTCTCCCTCACCTCTCTCCCTCTCACTTCCCCCTCACCTCTTCTCCCTCACCTCTCTCACTCCACACTTCCCCCTCACCTCTCACTCCACACTTCTCCCTCACCTCTCTCACTCCACACTTCCCCCTCACCTCTCTCACTCCACCCTTCCCCCTTACCTCTCCCTCACTCCTCAGTCGTGACCTCAGACACTCTACCATTACATATACTTGAATTGTTTTAACATTTGATTGCTCGCTTCTCACTCCAACTGTACAGTACATCACGTGTCAAGTCTACCGAGTTTCTTTTTTCAGATGTTGTGTTTCTTTTCATTGTAACTACCAAGACGTTTAGGCTAACGATGTTTTAAGTATGTTTATAAACATTAAAAAATACATGAATTAACTGTTTCCAGCTGCTGTTTTTTTCCGTCTCCACATTGTGCATGGTAGAAGGAGCTGGCAACACTAATGGTTAACTTACCCTAACCTGCCGTTAATTTCCTTTATTATTCCTTTTTTTAAGGCAGAGAATAAAGTCGCTGTATCAGAACATAACCATTTACAGCTAGAGGTCAAATTATCTTGTTGGTTATTGTCATCCCTACCGTATTGTCATAACTTTTCGGTATCGTTACGTTAGCCGCCTCGTTTGTCTATACCGGGGGGTCTTAGGTTACCCCTCCGTCAGTTTATCCTTAAAAAATTCCTCCTTGAGGAAGACTTCACGCATCACAGTGAAGTTTGATCTGCAGCTTCACATCATGATTAATTCCATACTCAGCGTTTGGTGACATACATCTCCTTCAGTGATAGATCATTTTAATTTTCCTGCTATGTTGTGTCATGTTGCCATCTTGGGTCTCCACACTCCCAGCTGGTGGGTGACGCCCACGCATGAAAAGAAATGTGGTAAAATTGTTACAGTGTGATGCAGATAAAAAAACTTTTATGGCTGGCTGAGAAAATGGCGAGAAATTTGACAATGTTTAAGAGAAATTTGTGCGAGTACGACACTCGGAGCGTGATGGCTACTTTATAATACTCTTCATAAATTGTCTGTAATGACCACTAAAGTTTTTTCTTGATATCTGGGCTGTATGTCGGCTGTGTATTAATAAACTCTTATAAATAGTTGTCGGGTGGCGTGAAGTTACACCTCTAGATAATATGGTCACCCGGAAGAAAATCCTGATTTGTTTAACTCAATATTGCGTATATTCCCGCGTATCACTTAGAGTACAGTAACAGGTTATAGACTTTTATTCATAACTGTCAACTCTCCCACTGTAGCTCATAGTAATAATACCTCAACTAACCTCTAACATTTAACTTGTGGATAATACAACCAGTGTGCTGAACTACCGCAGACAATAATGCCTGTGAGGTAGTGTACACTCAATGTGTGTCGTTGACTGTAACCACTCGACCTTCTGTTACGCTGTGTGACAATGTTGGCCACTGTAACAGCTGTTATGTAACAGTAGTATTACTGCATTAACCATAACTTGTGACCCTCTGTAACACTGTGTGATATAATGGTCATTGTAATAACTGTATTATGGCAGTAACATCACCTAAAGCAGTGGGTTAATGTGTGGCTGCGGCCGCTTCCTCCCTGAAGGACTGCAAGGAGAGCATGAAGAAGAGACAGTACTACGCTGTGGACAATAAGCCCGTGTGTCCCGGGTGTATGGGCGTCTCTGATGATGACGAGGACGAGGATTAGGACCATTATCACTACTACCACCACTGCTGCTACCACCATCACAACCACTACTACCACTATTGCTGATCAGGGGAGCAGTGAAACGCAGAAAGTTGAGGCCTTTGTGATAAGAAAGCCAGAATTATAAGAGGACTGCCACCAACACCACCACTGCAGCCACCACCACTACCACCGCCATCATGACCACCAACCCCACTACCATCATCACTACGACTACCACTGCTACTGATCAAAGTAGCGGCAAACTACAGAAAGGGAGAAACCTTACAGCACTGGAGCCCTACGTGTAAGAGGTGTCAATGATAACGAAGTGTAGCACGCCTGCTGAGGTTAAGGGACCCTCAACAAAGATGACAATACGGGCGAGGTAGAATGAGTTGAGAAACAGCAACGAGGCAGAGAAATTGTTGGAAGAATAAGAAATCGGGGATGAAACCAGTGAGAAGATAGGAAGGAGGAGCGTGGGTGGTGGGTGGGGCTGTGTCAACAAGAGACAAGGTGTTCCCTCCTTAGTGCCAAGTATCCCATGCCAAGACCTACTTCCACCATCTGTTCATGAGATCATGACTGCGTGTGCACTTACCATTATTTCCACTGAATAGTTCACTATTAATGAGGATATAAACTCTTCATTAATTCTTGGTTTCACGAGATAAAGCGACAACAACTGTAAATGTTTGAGAAAATATGGACAAAAACCCTTCCGAAAATATCACACATCTTGCTTCACCTTTTGTTTATATGTGTTTGGTGTGTGACGGCTACGTGACGGCTCCTCTTCGTGGGCGGAGTCTTAGCTCAGCGCCATGCTAGTCTCCTCCTCAGTACACGACCTCCAAAATGAAAAGCTCCTTTGATCACTCTGCTTTTTATAAGCAGTGCGGGGCGAAAATGTTAACTGAGTAGCACTGGTTATTTGCTGGACTTTGAGGTATCTGTATATTATTACCAGGCAACCGTCACCGTACATTATATGCAAGTCTAGTGCCCCGATTTGAACCTGAACGATAAATACTTGCCAGAATGTAGTTATGGCGCTGATTTTTGTACGTCTACCTTGTCTATCTTAGCTCCATGAGCACCTCGCTCAACTATGTTTGGTAAATAACTTCTTCCTGCATGTTGTCTCATGCAGCATTACATTAAGCAGTACTTGGTGGCGTCAGAAGGAAGGCGGGACTGTCCCTCCTACGTGAGGAGCTCCCTTGGTCTTGCTACATTTAAATATTTATTCCTCACCCTGTGCTTTTCCCTTTATATTTATGATAGATTATGTTGTCTTAGATTAAAACATGTACCTACCACATTTAAATTTCAAACATTATTTTGTATTGTTGATGAAATAAAAGTTTTAATATAATGATTAGAGTTTCTGGTTGTCAGTGGCCTGCTGAGGTTGGCTGGTGAGTTAACTTTACACGTAAATGGTCTCGACTACAGTGTATATATATATATATATATATATATATATATATATATATATATATATATATATATATATATATATATATATATATATATATATATATATATATATATATATATATATATATATATATGTTTGTGTGTGTGTGTATGTGTGTGTGTAAAGTGAGTGAGTGTGTGGGTTTAAAACCTATCCCGATTAACCCTTTCGCTGCGTTTCCCGCACTGCTATTTTATTCTGGGTACCGCCAGACGATTTTATTCAGCTTAGGGTAACCTCCCGCAGCGAAAGGGTTAAGGTGAGTGTGTGTGAGGGTGCAAAGTGAGTGTGTGGGTTTAAGGTGGGTGTGTGGGTGTAAGGTAAGTGTGTGTGGTTGTGTGTAAGGTGAGTGTGTGGGTGTGAGAAGAGTGTGTGTGGGTGTAAGCTGAGTGTGTGGGTATGAGGTGAGTGTGTGTGGGTGTAAGGTGTGTGGGTATGAGGTGTGTGAG